GTGTATTTGAGGAGAGAACAGGCAGACAGTAAATATATCTGACTTTAATGTTTTCCTCAATCTTGCTACATTTATTTTTGCATTTATTATAATGTCAACAAATAGTATGAGGAACATTTCTTAACTGAGACTATCACCTGGTGAAATTTCAAACTGAAGCTATAACAGTAAGGAAAACTGATCAATTTCAGATTTTAGATAAATCATCTCATTTGAGATTATTTAAACGATGGCAATGCAGTGGGGTGAGGAAACAAAGTCTGCTGACCCTTTCTCTTTGACAGACTGGTCAATTGATTTGGACATGCCTCCCTGGAGTGAGTTCTTACTTTCCTAAGAGTTTCTGAAGATATTTTCCTTTCGAAGTCTCTTACCCTGTTAAATGGTCCCAGTTAAAGAACCATTCTACATGTGGCAGAGGGGCCTGAGGGTGGAGTGGTGAATGATAAAGTGTGGAGACCCTGGTACTGAGTATACCCACATTCAAATCCCAGTCCTACCAAGTGCTGACTGTGAGACTTCAGGCAAGTGGCTTAACATTTTAAAGCCTGAATTTTCTCAATGAAACCAAACTATAGTATAGATTTTGGGGAATTATAAAAGGATTAAATTAGTTAATATCTGTAAAGATTTTAGAGTAGTGCCTGACACTTAAAAGTTCTCCATAAAGTACTCTACTATTTTTGGAGTAAATCAGGTGTAAACCCTGGTTATGTCCCTTGTTTAATGTAATTTTGTGAAAATAAATTAATCCCAATGCCCCTTAGTTTTTATTCTTCTTTGAAATTGTGATAATAACACCTAACCTATTGATTTGGGTGACATGAACTAATTCATACATGTAAACTACATAATACAGTGCCTGGCTTAGAGTCAGTGGGTAAAAGCCATTAGTGTATCTTTGGTATTCCCTTCCTTTGGTCTGAAAGACAGACCTCTATCAGACACCCATTATAATGTAAAGAAAGGGGTGAGCCTGGGAATGAGGGAGAAAGCCAAAATGTTTTAATATTAAAAGCTGAGTTGGGGCTAGCAAATTATTGCAATAAAATGATTGAGCCATGATCTGGAGTTACTTTTTTAAATTTTTAAATATTAAAAATAGAGATAGGGTCTTACTATGTTGCTCAGGCTGGTCTCAAACTCCTGAGCTCAAGTGATCCTCCCACCTGGGCCTCCCAAAGTGCTATGCAGGCAACTATTCTTTCCCAGAGTGACCCTAGATAAACAGCATTCTCCAGATGCCCCCTGCTTCCCTAGACTTTTCAGATGAAGCATGAAACTCCTCTGATGGTGCTGTCACCTGACAAAATGTCACAGGTGGGGGTGCACATGAAAGAGCCCCTGCATACTTGGGAGACAGCAGATTTGATCTGGTAGCCACAGCTGACAGACAGAGCTCAGAAAGCATGTGGTAGCTAATGCAGATAGGAAGGGGCCGGACCTCCAATCAGCTGGCAGATTCTATTGAATGCTATTGTCCTGAAGGCAAATCCTATCTGAAATCTAACAAAATCATATTCATGGGACTTCATGTGAATTTCAAAAAGGATAGGGATTTTATTCCTGGAAAATGAGATGTGGCAATTTTAAAATACTTTACCAACTCTGTTAACCAAGAGATCAACTGGCAAATATTTCCTGAAATCTGCTCATAGAAATAAAGGGAAACGCATGAATTTGGAAGCCAGACAAAGCAATGATTGAATTCTGGGTTTTCTAACCCTCTCTGCCCTTTAGTTGTTTTCAACTACAATACGGTCTGATGTAGGGTTAAAATACATGCTTACATTTAATTGACCTAATTAATTCTTATAATTTTTATTTTAACTTTTGACTTTCTGTAGCTAAAGTTTGGTGGAAATTTCAGAAAATGGTTACCTAAAATATTTTTTCCCACTAATTACTAAAACCTGCTTCCCCTCCCCAGGCTTGCCAACATAACTGAAAAGAAAATGTTTGAATGGTTGGGTGATGGGGCAGATGGACAAAAAGGTATCCCTTATAAACATGTGATTCAAAATGAGAAGCACCTTTGGCAGGACCAACTTATTTCTAGCACTCAAGGGAAATGAACAACCCTGTGGGTTGAGATGATCAGCAGGTCTTCATGGGAAAAATACTGGAACTAGACCTTGAAGTAGGGGTGGCAGGACCAGGGAAGAGAAAAATAGTTTCATTCAGGGAAACCTTGCAGAGCCTCTAAAGAGTTGGAACTTGGCTGGGCATGGTGGCTCATGCCTGTAATCCCAGCACTTTGGGAGGCTGAGGCAGGTGGATCACAAGGTCAGGATTTCCAGACCAGCCTGGCCAAGATGGTGAAACCCCATCTTTATTAAAAAAAAAAAAAAAAAAAAAGATACAAGAAAAGAAATAGCTGGGTGTGGTGGCTTGTGCCTGTAATCCTAGCTACTCTGGAGGCTGAGGCAGAGAATTGCTTGAACCCAGGAGACAGAGGTTGCAGTGAGCTGAGATTGTGCCACTGCACTCCAGCCTTGGCGACAGAGCAAGACTTCGTCTCAAAAAAAAAAGGGGGGTTGGAACTTCCACCATAATCTCACAACTACCTTATGCTGAGCAGGGGACTGCAGGGACTGGGCTCAACTCCCCACAGACAGTTAATTCTTACATCAACCATGAGAAGGGGCCAGTAACATTCCCATTTTAAACTGAGACTCAGAGATGGAGCAGATTCTCCAAGGTCATAGAGCAAGTAAGGGATGGGCTAGTATTTGACCCAGGTCTACCCACCTCAAAACTTGAGCACAGTATACTGTATTACTTCTAGTAATGATACAAGTTACCATTTTGGATGGCTACCGCCTCTATAAAGTCTCCTTCCTGATACCACCAAGCCCTTTCCCAAGTAGAGTTGACCTTCCCTCCTTGTGTTCCCATGGTACTTCGCAGAGACATCTATTCGAGTGTTGGTGCATTTATTGGTCACATTTTACTTCATGCCTGCCTCCTCATTAAACTATAAGCCCCCAAAAGGAAGACCTGAGCATTGTTCATTATTTGATCATTCATGTACCATTTATGGCTCATAGTAGCAGTTTAATAAATGCGAATGAATGACTGAAAGAATCAATGCCTATTGCCTTCCCATCACTATGCCCACTGCTTGGTAAGTTAACCTCTTTACCCTTGGTTTTCCTCACTTACAAAGTTAAGGTGATTGTAATACTGACCACATATAGCCATAGCAATAAGTTAATTGTTAATAAGTCACTACAGTATTGATGAGCACATAGTAAATGCTTAGTACATGTTAATTATTATTGTGATCACATCTAATTCCCATAATTCCCTTTAAATGGAGAATTTTATTCAAGTATTATCATCTTGACTACATAGACTGGGATCTGTTATTAGAGTGGTTAAGTGTCTTGCACAAGATCACACAGCAGAAAAGAAGTGGAACTTGCAAATGTCCCTGAAGGTATGAGCTATTACAAACCCTGATATTTCCAATTCACATACAGGGCCCCAGTTGATTCTCTTCACCTCCATTTTTAGTTTGGGCTTCAGCAGAGTGGAGCTAACCAACAGAGTGATTCAGCCAGTGTGGTCCTGGCACAGCACAGGGTCTGTTTGGAGTGATTTAGACTACCATGCCGATGGCATCCCTGTGGACAGTGCTGTCCACGCTTCCCAGTTGATGAGTCACCTGGGTTTCTTAATGACACACACTCCAGGCTCCTCTGATTAGTGTGTTTTTAAAAAAACAACACCAGGTTATTTATTTATTTTTTTTATTGCATTTTAGGTTTTGGGGTACATGTGCAGAACATGCAAGATAGTTGCATAGGTACACACATGGCAGTGTGTTTTGCTGCCTTCCTCCCCTTCACCCACATTTGGCATTTCTCCCCAGGCTATCCCTCCCCAGCTCCCCGCCGCCCGCTGTCCCTCCCCTATTTCCCCCAATAGACCCCAGTGTGTAGTACTCCCTTCCCTGTGTCCATGTGTTCTCATTTTTCATCAGAGAAGTTTGTGAAACTTTGCTTTGAGAGAGGCTGAGACCAGACTTTAAAGGATGATGGCGGTACACACCTTCCAGGGGACAGTTATGAACATCTTAAGCGTTACTGGTACTGCTCTGCCACGCCCCTCCCCGCTCCACATTTGTAAATATAAGGACTAAATCAGTGTCCCTTAAGAATGCACCTGACGTGATAGCGGAGATCAGAACAAGGAGTGGCATGGCTGGAGGCTCAGGTGTTCTTGTTTGAACGTCATTGACTCGTGGAGCTTTGCTCCTGCACTTTCTCCCTGGAAAAGCTGCTCATAGACTTCCACCGGGCTTTCGAAAGGGCCCGTAGACACCAGCCACCAGAACTGATTATTTCCTAGCATTCAGAGAGGGGCTGAGCTGTCTCCCAGAGGAGGCTCTGGGAGGAGAGAGCAGCAGCTTTGGCAAAAAGGGGCCATTCGCAAGCTTCCCTGGCAGGAAACTCGCGGGCAGACAGATCTGCCCAGCCTTGTGTCAGCGAGGGGAGCTCCGGGCAAGTTTCCTAGGAGTGTCCCTCCTCGCCACGGACACTGCAAAGTCTCCAGTTCTCCGACAGATGTTTCCCTCGCAGCCGCTCTGAAGTCGAAGTACTCGCCTACTGGCTGCAGCACGGAATGGAGAGGTCTGTGCGCTGTGATTAGGGGAGCCCCACCAGCCAAATGCCAGGATCAGCATGAGAGGCTGGACTTTAACCCGGGTCTGTCCTCACCCCGGGGGGCCGCCAGCTTTGCAGGGTGCATCTGCGAGAAGCTGCTCACTTTTTCCCCTTGCAAGTCTTTGTTCCAAGCCTGACGTTGCTAGATTCTGTAATTAACTCCCTCCTCTCCAAAGGAGTCTGGAGGCTGGGATGCTCTGCCAGCTCAGAGGATGTTGACTCTGGAGTGGGAGTCCGAAGGACTGCAAACAGTGGGTATTGTTGTGATTATATGTGCATCTCTGAAGCTGCTTCATTTGCTGGGACTGATTGACTTTTCAGAAGGTAAAGTGATCGCTCCCAGTCTGTGCTGTTGGGCAGGTCAGGTTTAGAAGTAGATACAGAAGCTGCAGAAGTTGAGAAGGCTTAATACCCAAAGTAAAAGTTTTAAAATATGCATGTTGGGCAGAGAGTATCCTAGCGACTGGACAGTTCATTCTGGTTTATCCAGATACTTGATATTAGAAGGGAAGAGATATGTGTTATTATCTTTCTATTTGAAATCTACTTGGGTTTAGTATTCTGTGGGTTAAATATGTTTCTAAGGTGGGGAGTTAGGACTCTCTCCTATGGGGCGATAACACAGGTTGGTATTTGGTTGTCAGTTTCATGTTGGCTACCACGCCTTAATGTCATTAGTGATTTCATCCTATGGAAGAATATCTTGATTTGTGAAGAGAATATCTGTGTGTGCCTCATTAGTTAGGAGGTATGGGGTGAACCCGGGTTGTTTATTATGATATAAATTGGGTAAGCTTTTAATATAAAATTGAGTTAATGGGTGCTCAGCAAAAATGTGCTTTGAACGCTTAATCTGCAAAAGTGTTTCATTTGCATTTCCCACTGAGTCTTATTGCTCATGTGTCTTCTGAGAGAATTCATAAGCATGGGACAGCACTGTTGCTATCAATAAATATTAGATCCATCTAATATAAATTTTACTGTTGCCATCCAAAATGAATTTTGTTATTCAAAGATTGGAGAGTTTTAAAAAGTTGATTAACTTTACTTTAACCATTTCAATATATGTGTATGTATCATACACTCATACATATTTTATAATATACTGTTTTTATTAAAATAATATACTTTGAATCATTTAAACCTAAATCACTTGATATCAATTCTACATGCAAGCTTTTCTTTCTTCCTAAGTGAAAGAATGGCATCCCTGAGATACTTGCTAATATTTCTTCCAGATGTGGATATAATCTTTTTTCGCCAAGTTATGAATATTTACTTCTCACATAGTGTTTAATATGGGGAGATGGAAATATTTTAACTTGCCTATGCTTTCTGTAATCTTTCTAACTACAGGAGCTATGATGACATCATCCTAAACCACATCCGGTATACAGGTTGTTTCTGTTAATATGCTAATAATGGTCAATGTATCTTATCTTCAGAAAGTCCTTTTTTTCCTGCAAAGTAGGTTCATTAGGTTCTAACTGTTTAAACCAATGTAAGAACATGCATTCTCTTGTAATCTTTATATCTTCTTTAAAGTATTCTTAATCAGTAAGTTCTGCTTAGACATAATACAAATAATATTGTAATGGGATTAAAACCTCAGAATTTATTTCTTTTTCCTTTTCTTATATTTCACAGTAATTTTGTTTAACCCCTGAAGGAAATCAGTGCATAATCAGGCTTCTCCAATATTACACAATTTTGCATTCTCTTGAGATTTCTGACTCAATACACTAAATGCTAATGTCTTGATACAGTACAAGTAATTTCAATTTCTATGATTGGAATAATTTGCTTCTGTTTCATTTTGTCACCATGTTTTTCTTCTCTGGACTTAATTGAGCTATGGCCCCCAACTTTAGTGCATTGCACTCGAGCTGACTTGGTTTCAGAGCTGGGTTCTAAAGGACAACCTCCAAGAATGTATTGAGGAAGTCAACTTTCACAGTGCTATGAGGATAGAACGCAGTTCTTATATGGTCAGTGTTAATAACGTAGAAATTTAAAATCAAAAGTCTGAAGTGTAAGGCCCCTGGCAATGATTCAGCTTTTATTCTTCAAGGTCTGTTTCATATCACTTAAAGTTAAAGGTTTGCAGATTCAAACTTCAAATTTGAGTTTCAACAAAATGAAAATTAGGATTGGAAACCTGACTCCCCCGACTAGAATCTTAGAAATTTTTGAGCTGGTCTGAAATGTCTTCCTTGGGAGAGATATCTAGATCATATTCCTATCCATATCTAAATCTGTATTTCTATATCTACACACACACATATAGATGTACATAAATATAATATAGATATTATATGAAATGTCCAGTAAGCTAGCGAAACTTTTGATTATGGAATCCATGATCATGCTAAAATCCAAGGATGCAGGTTTTCACCATACATAAGGGAAGACCCACATATACTTGTTGAATCAGTCCCTTTTTCCTCTGAAACATGTTAGATAATACTAGTCTAGTCCAGCTGTTACTTTATATAGGAGACAACTACAATCCAGTGAGGTTAACTGACTTGTCATAAGACAAATGTAACTAGAATCAGAAGCAGGATCAAAACCTAAGACTACTGAATCCTATACAGTGCTTTTCCTGCTATAACATACTTGTATACATCTTCCTTAATATTGAGAAAGGGAATAAAGGAAAATACAAATGAGAAGTTTCTGAATTCTTGAGTCTTACCCTGAAATGGCTGTTATTACCACGTGAAATATTTGTGGCAAATGTATTTAAAAGAAATAAAATCATATAATAGGCACATAATTTCTACAAAGCTTGGACTTCAATCCAGGCATGGGACCCAAGCATGGGAAATAAATGAGCTAAGCCAGACCACTGAACTTTGTCATAGGTTAGAGGCAAGAGTAGGACAAATGCAAGCCAAGTGGTCTCCTCAGCCCCTTTCAAACCTCTAGGGTCTGCACTGAATTTTGACCAAATGTAACTTACATTCAATCATGATGAATGTCCAGTTCAAGTAGAGTCCAATGATGAAGCCCGATGGGAAAGTGACCCCTCCGTCCTAGGCCTCCTGCCTCTTTCTTTAGACTATGACATTGCCTAAGCAGAAACAGAACCTGGACTCTTTGATCAGTAGCCAAATAGAGGATTAAGGAAAAAAGGAAGCTAAAGTGCAAACCACACATGAAAAATTAAATTACCAGAGCCTTCATTCTTTCTAGTTACAAATAATAAAGGCTGACAGGGTTATCCAAATGCAAATTGCTAAACTCTTCACTAAGATTGTACCATCTAGAAAATATGACCCACCATATACCAGAGAATTAGCCTCTTTTTTTTTTTGGGGGGTGGAGAAGTGATGGGGAGGAGGCACAGAGTAGAAGTTTGAATTTCTTTTTGGCAGCATTGAGCTTACACATTGTCCTCAGAAAGCAGTGATACCTCAGTGGTACCATCATGGAACATGTTCTCCACTGTGATTTTGTATATAGTACATTAGAAAGTACTTCTGAGTCTATTTGAATAAGAGGGCCCATATTAATATTGAGATAAAGCAGTATTGCCTTAATATTTTCATCTCTGATGCTGATGAGAATTAGACGTAGATTGGAAAGGGGTAAGAGAAACAATTCTCTGATTTGGTTTCCAATTTTGATAAAGTCTTATTTTAAAAGAACTTTTCATTGAAATTCAAGACTTAGGACACAAAAGCAATTTTTAAGGAGGATTAAAATCACTCATGTAATTTTAATATAGGGATTTGAAATTTTGCATATATCTACTCATTAATAAGGGGAAAGAGAAAGAACACCCAAGATTAATCATTTCATACTTTAGCTTGTAATCTTTTCATATTGAATTTTAACATGTGCAGGGTCCCCTGTTGGGCATTGACTGAGAGGGTGGGAAAGTACAAGATAAACATTAACATCCCCTCAATAAGCTTACATTCTAGTAAAGGAGGCTACTTACCAAACAAGAGAGCAGGAATAATGCTGGGCATAGGCCCAAGCCATGGCCTGTAGAAGCACAGGTAGAATGGTTCATTCTGGAAAGGACTCCGGGGAAGGTTTAATTGAAGAAAAAATAGCTGGATAGGATCTTGGAATGGGAGAAGGGTATCCCAAATTGAGAAATCCAGGAAGACAATTCCAGGCTGAGCAAAGAAATTGAGCTGTGACTCTAAGCATAGACAGGGACTTGGGTATGGCTTGTAGCACATGGTTCTAAGAACTTTAAAATAAAATACGTGGTTGGATAGTTACTTGGGGTTCAACCCCAGAAGTGCACACTTATTTTCTAACTATTAAAGAGCAATTGACTCAAAGATTTCAATTTGAGGGAGCAAGTGGGACAGATCCATGTTTTAGGTAGGTCAACCTGAGAGTAGATGAAGATGAATTCAGAGGTAAGAAAGTGGAAGCAGAGATACTAGCTGTGCCTTTGTAGCAATTCAGATGGGAGATTAGAAGGACAAATCCACAAAATTCCCTCCTCAATAAAATATATGGGGAGAACTGTCCATTTCCAGTTTTTCCAGAAGTTCTTATTTAATATGATAGCCATGACCTGCAGTTCTTTGGAAACAACATAATTATACTGTATTTCAGAGCAATGTTGTTTGGGTTTATTAAATATCTTTCTAATGAGAAAGGAAAGAAATGCGGAATACACAGAGATCATTGCTATAGGTATAGTTGTTCCATTTGTGGTAGGAACTTATAAATTTGGATAGATTTATCGAATATCTTACAAGGCCTTCAATTATTGTAAGCTTTTTATTTTGAAAAATTTTACACACAAAACAAGGTATAGAAAATGGTGTAATGATTGGTCATATATCTGTTATCTAGCTTCAGTAATTACCAATAGTTTGCCATTTGTTTTCACATGGCTTGCATTTAAGAAATATTTCTTTATTGTCTACAGTATGTCAGGCACTAGGGTAGGCTCCAGAATGCAATTCTTAGTTGCATAAGAAGAAAAAGAATGCAAACAAATAAAAAGTAATACTTCATGGTAAATAGACCAGTACAAGAAAATCCAAGAAGAATGTAAATTAGTTAAGTCCAGGTAGAGGAAATGAAAGCAATCAGAGATGGCTCCATGGTGGAGGTGACCTCTAATCCTGGTTTTATGGATGAGGAGAAGTGTCTAAGATTGGTAAGCAAGAATGGTGCTTACACAAATACAGTATGCAAAACATTGGGTGAGGTAACACCATGAACAAGCACAGGGCCATGATATACCACGTGAAATTCCTGGAACAACAATAAAAAAGCATGAGAGGAGTTGACAGTTTTATTCCTTCTCCTTGATTGTACAATTATCCTTGCTGCTTAGTACAGTGCTTGGTGTATGGAAGTTACTGAAGAATTATGGCCTTCATGCCATTTTCTTCCATGCAGGAATATTGCCAGTACTCTTCTACTTATCCCACATAATAAATAAACTCCAGTATCACTTTCAGGTTTCCATAGTAGCCTAAAAACTGTTGATTCATTGATTAAGATTTTTGTTATATATATTATTTCTGTTAGTAACAGTTCACATCAAAGTCCCCTTGCAAGGTGAAGAAACACCAAAAACAACTGTTTGCTAGAACTACTGACCCAGGGACACAATTTCAATTAAGATAACCAACAATGAGCTGCAGAATCCCAGCTTATATGATCTCTGGTTTGCTAGAAAAGCAACACATTCAATTCTGTAACTGGAAAAACTGCTAAGATTTAACAAATATGTATTACTGTGTCGAAGGGAAGGGACGATAGTCAGGTGTTTTACTGCCTTCAAGAAATGTTCAGTTGGTTAGAGGCCAGACAGCTCATGAATAACTAATCCAAAATGAAAAAGTCTTTTGAGAGGGAGTGAGGCCTTTAGAAAACTCAAGGACAAGACCATGTAGAAGATTTTTGGGAAGGCTGCATGAAGATGGTGACATTTTAAATCTCAAGAGTTGAGAGAGCCAAGACTTTGACAAGCAAAGACTAGAAACTAAAAGCAGAAATTTGAACTATATTTTTAAAAGACAGGCAGTTTCCTGAAATCATTTTTGTAACCAGTTTGGCACTAAAAATTTCATTAATTATTTAAAATACCAAGTTTCCGCTTGGACCTGGTAATGCGCTTGGTACTGATTAGTTTGGGGATGATTATTTTCCAGCTCTAATTATTTTTACTTACTTTGGAAACCTGTGCCTCACCCCATCTGGAAGAGGAGAACTACAATTTTAAGTGGACAGTGAGAAGAGTGGAAGGGGAATGGAATTTATACTTATCATACCCTCCAGCCAAAAACCATCAGGAAACACACCTGTGGTCGAATAATTTTTGTTTATTGTTCATTACAGAGAGAGAGAATACACACTGCAGAGACATGTGGAATGTCTCAGAGAGTGTTAGACATATTACAGGGTTTGAGCTCATTTTGGGGCCTTTGGAGACGGTTTAAGGGAGCAAGTCATTGATCTGGACAGGATGCTGTCAAGAAGTCAGAGTCATGCTGTGATTGGGTTCTTACTTGTATCTACAAGTAGGGAAGACTAGACAGAGGCGAAAGCTGTAATAGGTAAAGAAGCAGCAGCTACTCATATTAGCTGGGATAGGGGATATTTTATTATTTTTGTGGTTTAAAGTTCATGTCTGTCCAGATGCAGTGGCTCATGCCTGTAATCCCCGCACTTTGGAAGGCTGAGGCGGGTGGATCACCTGAGGTTGGGAGTTCAAGACCAGCCTGGCCAACATGGTGAAACCCCATCTCTACTAAAAATACAAAATTATCTGGGCATGGTGGCACATGCCTATAATCCCAACTACTTGGGAGGCTGAGACTGGAGAATCACTTGAACCCAGGAGGCGAAGGTTGTGGTGAGCCGAGATTACACCACTCCACTCCAGCCTGGGGAACAAGAGTGAAACGCCGTCTCAAAAAAAGAAAGTTCAAAAAGGTTCATGTTTTCGCCTCTGTTCAAACATGATTATAGAGGGCTCTTGTTGTTGTATTGATCACCCATGGGTCTGCAGTGGTGTTTTCTGATGTTCATATTCTGTGAAATGATTTATAATCAACAAGAAAACACCAAGACCTAACTAATAAACCACTTAGCTCCTTCCAGGGACCCACAGGTGCTTTTGTCTTTCTCTCACATAATAAGGCAGAAGGCAGAGTGAGACTAGAAAGCAGTTTAGGTCCTAATTCAGTAACTATGAACAAGTTACTTAATCCTCCCAAGCTTCAATTTCCTTTTCCGTGTAATGGGGCTAATAATCCTAATCTTTGAAGAGTACTATAGGGAATACTAAAATATAAGCGGAATATCTAGCTCTATTCTTCATCCACAAATAGGAACCAGTAAGTGTCTTTCTTGTAACTGTGTTGAAACGACAGGTGGCACGTTCCAATTTCTTGAGTTTGACTAGCTGTTCTCTGAAGAATGCTTCAGAATAATCTGGCTGATCTGTTAGATACAGATTGTTGGGCCCAACCCATGGAGTTTTTAATTCATTAAATCTGAGGTTGGGGTCTGAGAATTTGCATTTCTAATGAGTTCTTACTTGAGGATCATGCTGCTGGTCCAGGGGCATGGAAATTGGAAACCATTGAGTTAGGTAATAGATCGGAAAGGCCAAACCCATAGTATCTGCAATATGTTCTGCACCGACTTGTCTGACACCTGCTGAGCTTAATTCTCAAGCAGTGGCCAGCCAGCTTTTTCAGCAGTAAACATTTTAGATTTTGTGGGACATGCAGTCGGTCACAACTCCTCAACTCTGTTGTAGCACAAAAGCAGCCAGATATAATACACAAACAGATGGGTGTGGCCGTGTTCTGATAAAACATTGTAGATGCTCCAATTTGAATCCCATACAGTTTTCATATGTCACAATATACTTAGGTAATGTCTGCTTTTTAATCCATTATTTTACATGTAAAACAATGCTTAGCTGGCAGATGATACCAAAACTGGCAATAGACTAGATTCGGCCCGCCACTGTAATTTGCCAACCCTTGTTCTAGAGTTGGCAATAAAGGGAATCATTGAGAAGTTGAGAAGGGGATCTCAGGTTGATGACTTATTGTCTTTTTGGAAACTTAGCTAGATTTTTCTGTGCCTTCTGTATTATTGAGGGGATGGAGGGGTCTAGTCTCTTTTTAGGGGGTTGGTGGAATTGTCTGCCAAATTGTCAAGTGATTTGAATTAGCATATATGTGTTTGTTCAATAAAATGCCTTCCTTTTCCCTAATTTCGCACCACTGGACCAACTTAGATGGTTGTTATATAAATTAAGCCATCTGCCTAGTATTGTCATACAGTGAGTCAATGCCAGAGTGCCCTGGCCTATTGGTTTTCGTTTTAGGTATTATCTCAGAAAAGTTGGAAATATATTCTTTTTATTGTTTGTCAACTCTAATTTCATAGATTTGTTAAAGACTCATTTCAATGTTTAAAATTACATTACTATTCAGACAGTTGCACTACATTGAAACTTTTGAGTCTAGGACACATACATTCAATCAACAAATGTTAAAAAATAAAATAAAATCACCTAAAGTCTATACTCTTAAAAATAAAAGATAAGTAGTGGATAAGATCATGGCATTTTAAGAGAGACAGACTTGGAATTCATTTCTAGCTATTCCTTTTTACTGGCTGTGATCTTGGACAAGTTAGATAACTGCCTGAACCTCAATTCTCTCATTTGTAAAATGGAATAATAGTCACAGCTACCTCATGGCATTATTTGGAAATTTAAATTAAATGATACTTGTTAAAATTCTCCTTAGCACAATGCCTATCACACAGAGCTCAATAAATATTGGGATTTATTTATTTATTTATTTATTTATTTTTGAGATGGAGTTTTGCTTCTTACCCAGGCTGGAGTGCAATGGCGCGATCTTGGCTCACCGCAACCTCCACCTCCTGAGTTCAGGCAATTCTCCTGCCTCAGCCTCCTGAGTAGCTGGGATTACAGGCATGCGCCACCATGCCCAGCTAATTTTTTGTATTTTTAGTACAGACAGGGTTTCACCATGTTGACCAGGAAGGTCTCGATCTCTTGACCTCATGATCCACCCACCTTGGCCTCCCAAAGTGCTGGGATTACAGGCGTGAGGCACAATGCCTGGTCCATACTGGGTATTATTTATAGTGTTAACTTCATTACTCTCTTATCTTTGCATAGTAATCATACCTATTAGCATAATCATTTACTCAATCATCCAGGAAAGAAAAGTTTTCAAATGTGATCTGTGTCCCAAGAGCTGCTAGTCATTGAGAACATAAAGACATAATTTTGGCTAAGTTGGGTTTATATATGAATGAACATACCAATTAGTTTAATAAACTGTCGGGGCCTCACATCTATGTAGACTTTAGAGGGACATAAAGGAAAGACTAACGAATTCTGTTTAGAAAGTGGGAAGCATCAGAAAGGACTAACAGAGGTGATCTTTGAGCTGAATCTCAGCCACACATTTAGCACACAGCATCAAGCAGCCCTGAGAACCACTGCCAATTGATAAAACCTACTTTAGCATTTCCAAGAATACCTCATGTTGATCTCAGTTTCTAATTGCTGGCTTATATTATTCCCAGAACTCCTTCTCCTACACAAAAGCCACCCTTCTTTCCCCATTTCAACTTTAAGTGAAACCCATCCTCTCTTTAATACCACCCGTTCTTCCTGATCTGAATTCCTTTACTCATGAGGTATGTGGTACAGCAAACACAACACTTAATAATAAACCTTGATGCACTATCCCTCAAATCACCGAATTTGTGTTCATTCATGTTCTCTCCATCTGAACAAGAGAGAACACTCTACCTCAGCAGTGTTAATTTTCCCTGTATTTCCACAGTGTCCAGCTACATGGCGTGTTATAATGCCTCAATGATACAGGCATAACACAGAGATACCTTGTGTTCTTGCATTTCACTTTGTTGTGTTTTGCAGATAATGTGCTTTTTACAAAGTGAAGGCTTGTGGCAGCCCTGCTGAGCAAGCCTTTTGGTGCCATTTTTCCAGCAGCATGTGCTCACTTGGTGTCTTTGTGTCACATTTTGAAAAATTTTACAATATTTTAAACATTTTCATTATTATATCTGTCAGAGTGATCTGTGACTAGTGATCTTTGGTGTTACTAGAGAAATTTTTGTACTACATACATCAGAAGTAATTGAATTCAGATTAAGAGCATCATGAACCACAACTATATAATATCGCCAACTTAATCTATAAATACTGTGTGTGTTCTGACAGCCACTGAGTGGCTGTTCCCCAGTCTCTCTCCCTCTCCACAGGGCCAGCCTCTCCCCTGAAACACAATAATATTGAAATTAGGTCAATTAATAATCCTGCAGTGGCCTCTACATGTTCAAGTAAAGAAAAAAGTTATACATCTCTCACTTTAAGTCAAAAGCTAGAAAGTATTAAGCTTAGTGAGGAAGGCGGATTGAAAGTCAAGACTGGCCAAAAGCTAAGCCTCTTGTGCCAGTTAGCCAAATTGTGAATACGAAGAAATCGTTCTTAAAGGAAATGAAAAGTTGCTACTTCACTGAACATGTAAAGGATAAAAAAGCAAAACAGCTTTATTGCTGATATGGAGACAGTTTAAGGGATCTGAATCGAAAATCAAACCAGCCATAACCTTCCCTTAATTCAAAGCTTAACCCAGAACAAGGCCCTTAAGCGCTTCATCTCTGTGAAGGCTGAGAGAGATTAGGAAGCTACAGAAGAAAAGTCTGAAGCTAGCAGAAGTTGTTTCATGAGGTTTAAGGAAAGAGGTCATCTCTAGAACATGAGTGCAAGGTGAAGCAGCAAGTGTTAATGGAGTAGCTGCAGCAAGTTACCTAGAAGGTCTAGCTAAGGTGACTACACTAAGCAACAGATTTTCAATGTAGATGAAACAACCTTCTATTGGGAGAAGATGCTATCTAAAAGTTTCATAGCTAGAGGGGAGAAGTCCATGGCTAGCTTTAAAGCTTGGACACGCTGACTCTCATGTTAGCAACTAATGCAGCTGATAACTTTAAGTTGAAGCCAGTGCTCATTCCGTTCCAACCTAGACCTCACCAGAATTCAATTCCATCCCAACAAACTGCTTTCTTTGCCCATCTGGAAGAAGTTACTCATTTGTCCTAGTTTGATCATGAGATTGTAATTGTTCAGTTAAATATTTAGGCTTCACTTTTAATTCTAGTTCTCTTGCTATTTCCACCCCACATTTGCAGTTACTTCCTTTACTGAATTATCGAACCCCTCACATTCATAAGAGTTGAAGTCAACTTTTTGGCCAACTTAAAAAGTATGCTAAGGCACTATGTCTGTGCTCTGTAAGTGGAACAACAAAACCTGAATGACAACACATCTGTTTACAGCATGGTCTGCTGAAAATTTTAATCCCATCTTTGAGACCTACTGCTCACGAAAAGATTCCTTTCAAAATATTAGTGCTCAGTACAATGTGCCTGGTTGTTCAGGAGCTCTGATGTAGATGTATAAGAGATTAACATTGTTTTTATGCCTCTGAACACAATATCCATTCTGCAGCCCCTGGATCAAGGAGTAGTTTTGACTTCCATATCTTATTGTTTAAGAAATACATTTTGTAAGGCTATTGCTGCCATAAAAAGTGATTCTTGTGATAGATCTAGACAAAGTAAATTGAAAACCTTCTGGAAAGGATTCACCATTCTATATGCTATTAAGAACTTTCACAATTCATGACAGGAGGTTATGAATTGTGTTAAAATAAAACTAACAGGAGTTAGTGTTAAAATAACACTAACAGGAGTTTGGAAAAAGTTGACTTCAACTCTCATGAATGATTTTGAGGGGTTCAATAATTCAGTACAGGAAGAAACTGCAAATGTGGTGGAAATAGCAAGAGAACTAGAATTAGAAGTGGAGCCTGAATATTTAATTGAACTACTATCTCATGATCAACCTAAAACAAATGAGGAGTAGTGGCTTCTAGATGAGCAAAGGAAGTGGTTTCTTGAGATGGAATTGACTCCTGGTGAAGATGCTATGAACATCATTGAATTGATAGCTAAGAATTTAGAATACTCATAAACTTAGTTGAGAAAACAGCAGCAGGATTTGAGAGGATTGAGTCTAAATTTGAAAGAAGTTCTACAATGATTAAAATGCTACCAACAGCATTACATGCTACAGAGAAATCTATTGTGAAAGGAAGAGTCAATCAACCAGGCAAACTTTATTGTCTTATTTTAAGAAATTGCCACAATTACTCCAACCTTCAGCAACCGTCACTTTCATCAGTCACCAGCCATCAATGTTAAAGCCAGAACTTCCACCAGCAAAAATATTCTCCTTGCTAATCTTTTTGCAAGATTGCTGAAAAATCAGATGATTGTTAGCAATTTTTAACAGTAAAGAACTTTTAAATTACAGTTTGCACGTTGTTTTTCAAACATGCTATTGCACACTTAATAGACTACAGTAAAGTAGAAACATAATTTTTATATTCACAGGAAAACCAAAAAAAGGAAAGTGTGACTTGCTTGATTGTGATATTTGTTTTATTACAGTGATCTGAAACAGAACCCACATTATCTTTGAGTTATGATTGTGTTTATCAGTGGGTTCTTCAATTTCATCTTTAATAGATTGACCTTTGAAATCAATATACTTGTCCTTTTAAATCCATATACTTTTTAATCAATATACTTATTCAAACTCATCCCCATACTGGGAAGTATATCTTGACTTTCTTGGACAGAAAAGAGAGGCTCTAGCCCTGAAACTTCTATGCCTCCTCTCTCTCTCTCTCTCTCTCTCTCTCTCTCTCTCTCTCTCTCTCTCTCTCTCTCTCTCTCTCTCTCTCTTTTTTTTTGTGACTGTCTGATGCTCTAGTGCCAGAAAACTCCCCATCATTTTCCAAACACTCTATACTCTTTCATCTCCATGCCTTTTTCTGAAGTATGAACTCTCTTCCTTCTAGAACATATCTCTCAGGTTATCACATGATTCTGATTAACTCCTTCTTATCCTTTAAGCTCAATTTAGAGGTATTTTTTCCAGAAAGACTCCCTTGTACCACCTAGTTAGAACAAGTGCCCATTTCATAGCACTTCAAAATGCATTAAACTCTTGATGTCTATGTCTTTCTCTTTTGCTAAATTTCAAGTATTACTTACCTTTCTCTCCTCAATGCCCTGTTGGAGTGAGTGAACTGTTAGGTAGATCATGGACAGGCAAGTTTATTCAGAGGTTCTGGTAATATATTAGACTACTCAGAATTTGTACAACAGGCTTGAATTAATTTATTAATAATTTTTAAACATTTTGTTTTAGTCAGGGATTCTCAACCTTGGATACTTGGGGCCAGATAATTCTTAGAGTTGCGTGCAGCTTTCTGCACTATAGGATGATTGACAGCATCCCTGGTCTCTAACAGACTAAATGCCAGTAGCACCTTTTCTGGAGTTGTGACAAGCGAAAGTGTCTGGAGGCAAATGTCAAGTGGGTGCAGGGCAGGTGAGAGCACTCCCCGCCACCCTCATTGAGAACTATAGAACTGAGGTATAAGCAAACACAATTTGTAAGCCTTTATATGTACATACATTCATAAATTACAAAGCTAAATTTAAATTGGAAAACATCAAAGCAGTGAAAATTATTGCAAACCAAACCTGAGTGTTGGGAAGTATATGATTTTCTACTACAAAGGTAATAAACAATCTTTGAGGAAAATCGATAAATAGAAAGAAAAAAAGAAATATGAGGAAAATAGCCCCAGTCTCAGCATTCTAAGAACAACCACTGATAATATGTTCATTTGTTTATTTTTAGTTTTCTTCTCCATGTATGTTTGATCTCTTAAACTTAATAATATTGTATTACTATAAAATTTTATATAGATTTAAATTCAATATTAGAGCATAAGTATTTTTACATTAGATTACAGATTTTTCATAAATATTTCAATACCTATATAATAGTTTATAAATGTGTATAATATAGTTTACTAATCCTGATTTTAGAATAAGTAGTTTTTTTTGTATTTGGAAAATTATATAATAATCTGTGTGTGAAGTTGCTTATATATTTAGAATTATGTTTTTAGAATGGAGTCACAGAGTTGAATTAATGGGACAAGAGAATGAACTGTTTCAAGTCTTTCGACACACACGGCAAATTTGCATTTCAAAAGGGTCACGCAAATTTACCTGTCCCACTGTCATGTGGGAAGTAACCAGTGGTTTGGGCTTTCTGCAGTGTCAGGACATGCGGTTGACTAGGGTACACTTTGCAGGTGAGCCCTAAAGCCATGCTGGCAAGCTCAGTGTTAATGGGCATTGGTGATTCCAAGAAACTTTGTCTTAGGACTGGAGTGCTAATGGCTTTCAAACCAATATTAGGAATTTTAATTTTCTGTAAGTATGAAATTTCCACTGGAGCTTGAAAATATTTGTCCTCTTCTCTCTTGTTGTCAATCGAAATGGAGTCCCTATAGAAAGGGGCTTACACTTTTATCAATTATCACCTCCATTTTAACCATCAAGCCTGGTACTGAGCAGGCATTAGATTATTCATTGAAAAAAAACACGGCATATTTTTGTACCAGATGAAGTATTTCCGGGTCTGTGTACTTAGGAGGAAAATTGGCATGCATAAAATTATTGCTATGCATATTCAAATAAATATTTCCAGAGACTTAGTAGTAGATGTATTTTACTAGATGAATTTCGGTAGCAGGGAGGCAGTAGAGAGTATAATATCTCTTTCATAAGAGGCATGCCCATGTTCATCTCAAGGAAATGTGTAGGATATCTTGTTTATGTGACAAAGTGTGAGACCAATAACCATAGATATTTTGAGCAAGAAGACATGAAAGGTCATTCAAACTCCCCAATGATATAGGTCATGATAAAGTAATGAGTTGCCCAGAGTCCCTTTGTGACTTAATGGTAGAACTTAGCTATAGAGGTAGAATGGTAGTAAGGTTAGGACATACTGAGCTTTGGAGATAGACAGGTCAAAGTTTTCCAGAAAGCTTGCTGGCTGTGGTCCTATGCAAATCACCAAACCTCTCTGAACCTCAGTTTCCCTACTCATAAGATGAAAATTATTATAATACCAACTTCACAGAGTGCTTCTGAGATACAGAATAATTTTGAGACAAGCCACATATCTAGTACTCACTAAATAGTAAGCACTCATTAAAATTGCCTAGTATTGTAACCCAGATTTTCTAATGGTTTCTTTGGTGTGCCTTCTTCATACAAAACTATTGGTAGGAAGGATCCCAAACATTATGAACAGAGTTGCCAAAAATATAATTTTCTTTATGCTGATTTTGAATATTTTTCTTTTGTAACTTTTAATAAGCTTAGTTCTGTTACATGTCAGATAGTCCACAGGTATTTTTTATTTTTATAGATAACAAAATTTCTTCAAATTTTCTAAGTAACTTGTCTACATTGTGAACTAGTAAACAGTAGAATTGGAATCAACCAGTCTTCTAAAGTTAGAGCTCAAGTTTTTTCTATGCTAATCTTCCTTTTAGTACTAACTTTTTTTTTTTTAATTTCTAAATCTGTATGGTAAGTGAAGACACACTCTGAGGTACCTGGATTAGTAAGATCAGGATAGGACATTTAGAATCAAATACTTTTCCCAGACATCTAATTGAACAGAATTAAGGATACGTAACTTTGTATGTCTGCAAATGCATAGTTATTAATGGCCTGTCACAGAAATTCTCTAATGAATAAACAAGAAAATATTGAAGACCAGATAGCAGTGAAGTAATTGCTGATGTGATTCCAAATTGAAACAAATTACAGGGGAAAATGCATAATGACAAAATAATTAGAAGACTGAGGCACCTGAACAAATATCCAAATCCTACATCTGTTTTCACAATATTCAGCAATCCCTAAGTATTTCTGGTGCATTGAGGTTGGAATTAGCATAAACTTCTAAACATTACTTGAGTAAAAAGTCAGAGTTAACTTTTTCTTGTTATTGTAAAGTTTCAAGGAGACACAGAGGGAATTAACCAGATGCATTTCTTCATGACAACAGAGGTTGTATAGCTAAAGTGCTCTTTGAAAATGTACCTCATTAAGAATTTGCACAGACAAGATTTTAGACTAAAAGTTTAATGCTCAAAATAGTAAGCTAGTCTCAGTATTATTATATCTCTCTTCTATAATGCATCAACAGTAAAACTAACATAGAGCTTAGCATTTACAGCTATATTTAAGAAAAAACACAAAATCAGCAAAGAAATTCTATAGTTGCAAAATTCCTTGTAAAGTTCAGAGTTGATCTGCCTAGCTAATATATTTCAAATACACACATTTTGCAGTAATAGGAACTATTCTTGTAAATAGGTGTCTAAAATGAGTGGAGAAATCTTTCCATGAAAACAAATCTACTCACTCTCCACATTCCAGAGAGACCTGAATGTGTCTATTCTTCAGGGCGCAACTTAAGTCCTGGAATAATTATTTAAGGAAATTTGGCCAGTTTCTTTGTAAAATTGCTAAGATTGGAAGTAGAGGGAAATTTTACAACTGGGAAGGGCTGCATTGAGACCTTGTACCATGACAGTTATACCATGAGTTATCTCCCCTTAGAGAACATATTTGTTTTATTATAAATGATGTCGGTGGTTGGATTTCCTTAGGGTGTCATGGTCTTCAGTCTTGGACTTGGCTTATGTGTTACGTGAAGACCACAGAAACACTGCTAGTGTATCAAAAGTAACATGGACTCTGAGATAGCAATGGTATTGTTTTGAGGCCACTCCCAGATATTGGCAGGAATATAGGCTAGGAAGTGAATCCTTCTATTTATTCTTTCCTTCCTTTGCTTCTTCTCGAGCCTTCTTCTAAATATGGATGAGGACTATCTTCACACTTAGCTATGGTGGAAAAGAGTAGAAGCAAATCCCAAGCAGAAGGTTAAAAGTTAAACTTAATTACATTCTTATTGCCTTCTCTCCATCTTTTCTTTGGTTAAATAAAATTATTTAAAGTTTGTCTTGAAGGAAAGTAAGCAACTCAGAGAATTACCCCCGTCCTGAACCCATACACTACTAGCCGATATTTGTTTAATGTGTCTCCTAATTAAAAAAAACTCTCCAAAACATTTTCTAACATAATAAAGAAATCTTACTCTGTAGGTGAAAATTAGGGGCCTTGAAATTGCACTTGGATCTGTCCTGTCTCATCACCAATTGCTCCATATTAGCTCTAGTTTTTCTTCAAAGGCTAAGAAAATTGGATATTTTAAATAAGCCAAAGATGATTATTTTCCTGGTACAGCTAAGCACGTTAAATATAGTCAACATTCACGATGCTGCTGCCTAAGGAAAATAAATGTAGTGAGCAACAAACAGGCTTAACAAATGGCTCAGGATAATTTTTGTGACAGAAGCTTAATCCTGAATAGCTGGAGAAATCATCAGAAAAGTGGATGAAGGCCAGGGTACTCAGTTAATTACCACCTCCTCTCCCCACCAAAAAAATATCTTGCTCAGCTTCAGGCTGAAGTGTATTTTCTTTGAATGTTGCCACAGTAATACCTTTATTCTCTAAAGAGAATATGGATTGCAACCATAAAGAATGATGCTCTCAGAATGATTAAATATTTGAACCACATACTTCAACTATGGTTCGAGTGTGCTTTTTACCTTCATGTCAAAATCAAATTTCCATTCCCATCAATGGATACTGTGTTCAGGGGTTGACTGCATTGTGGGCAAGGGTGTAAGTCAGATGTGGGTTTGAATTCTTGTGCCACCATTTATATAATCTGTGTTCTCTGCTGAGTGATTTCATTTTCCTGAAATTCAAGCTTCTCTATGTAAAACAGCAACTGATTTTCATAGGATTGTACCATGACAGTTATACCATGGGTTACCTCCTCTTAGAGAACACATTTGTTTTATTATAAATGGTGTCACTGGGAGAACTTCCTTATGGTACCATGGTCTTCAGGCTTGGACTTGACTTATATGTTACGTCGAAACCAAAGAAATACTGCTAATGTATCAAAAGCAATATGCACTTATACATGGGAGGGCTGAGGAAGTCACATGTATAAATATGTAAAATAATTATGGGTTCTAGAACATGAATAAAGCCTACCAATGGCAATTCTTTCATAGTGTATAATCATCAATATTCAACTGTTTTTATATTTAGAGTATAATAAGTTTGAAATCCATAGAGTTCTTTTTTCTTTTTTTTTTTTTACTATTCTTTTTTCTTTTTTATTCCATTTTAGGTTTTGGGTACATGTGCAGAACGTGCAAAAGAGTTGCATAGGTACACACATGGCAGTGTGTTTTGCTGCCTTCCTGCCCTTCACCCACATTTGGCATTTCTCCCCAGGCTATCCCTCCCCAGCTCCCCCCACCACTGTCCCTCCCCATTCCCCCCCAATAGACCCAATAGAGTTCTTTACAAAGATTTTAAAGACCGCACTTTTGCCACATCTAACCAAAAAATGTGCAGAGGTTGGCAACCATCTTTTTTTTCCCTTTTTTACATTGAAGAAATAAAACAAAGCTCAGTGAGCTGTTAAGCAGAGGGTAGAGAATCAACTTGCCCCTCTGCTCCAGCACTCTCTCCATGCTCATTCTTGTATAATTTTGCCCACTTGTTTGCCTTCCCTGAAATCACCAGCCTGCTCTCCTATATCCATCTGAACTTAGTTATCCTTAAAAGGTCTAGTGCCCTCTTATTTAGTTTTATTTTTATTTTTTTGAGACAGTCTTGTTCCATCGCCCAGGCTGGAGTGCAATAGCACAATCTCAGCTCACCACAACCTCCACCTTCTGGGTTCAAGCAATTCTCCTGCCTCAGCCTCCCGAGTAGCTGGGACTACAGGCACGCACAACCATGCCCAGCTAATGTTTGTATTTTTAGTAGAGACGGGGTTTCACCTTGTTAACCAGGATGGTCTCGATCTCTTGACCTTGGGATCCACCCACCTCGGCCTCCCAGTATTTTTCTTTTTTTTAAATTGTACTTTAGGTTCTGGGGTACAGGTACAGATCATGCAGGATTGTTGCATAGGTATACACATGGCAATGTGGTTTGCTGCCTCCATTCCCCCATCACCTACATCTGGCATTTCTCCCCATGTTACCCATCCCCAACCTCCCCACCCTCCTACTGTCCCTTACTTCCTTCCCCCAACAGGACTCAATGTGTGATGCTCCCCTCCGTGTGTCCATGTTTATCACCCACCTATGAGTGAGAACATGTGGTATTTGATTTTCTGTTCTTGTGTCAGTTTGCTGAGGATTATGGTTTCCAGATTCATCAATGTCCCTACAAAGGACACAAACTCTTCATTTTTTATAGCTGCATAGTATTCCATGGTGTATATGTGCCACATTCTCTTTGTCCAGTATATAGTCAATGGGCATTTGAGTTGGTTCCATGTCTTTGCTATTGTAAACAGTGCCACTATGAACAGACGTGTGCATGTGTTTTTATAATACAATGATTTATAATCCTTTGGGTATATACCCAGTAATGGGATTGCTGGGTCAAATGGAATTTCTATTTCTAAGTCCTTGAGGAAGCATCACACTGTCTTCCATAATGCTTGAACTAGTTTACACTCCCACCAACAGTGTAAAAGTATTCCTATTTCTCCACATCCTCTCCAGCATCTGTTGTCTCCAGATTTTTTAATGATTGCCAGTCTAACTGGCTTGAGGTGGTATCTCAATGTGTTTTTGATTTGCATTTCTCTAAAAATCAGTGATGATGAGAATATTTTCATATGTTTTTTGGCCTCACATTTGTCTTCTTTTGAAAAGTGTCTGTTCCTATCTTTCTCCCACTTTTGGATGTGGTTGTCTGTTTCTTGTAAAACTGTCTTAGTTGTTTGTAGATTCTGGATATTAGTCTTTAGTCAGATGGGTAGATTGCAAAATTTTTTCTCATTCTGTTGGTTCACTCTATTGATAGTTTTTTTTTTGGCTGTACAGAAGCTCTGGAGTTTAATTAGATTCCCATTTGTCTATTTTGGCTTTTGTTGCCAATGCTTTTGGTGTTTTAGTCATGAAGTCCTTGCCTATACCTATGTCCTGTATGGTTTTGCCTAGGTTTTCTTCTAGGGTTTTTATGGTGTTAGGTCTTAAGTTTAAGTCTTTAATCCATCTGGAGTTAATTTTAGTGTAAGGTATCAGCAAGGGGTCCAGTTTCTGCTTTCTGCACATTGTCAGACAGTTTTCCCAACACCATTTATTAAACAGGGAATCCTTTCTGCATTGCTTGTTTCTGTCAGGTCTGCCAAAGATCAGATGGTTGTAGATGTGCAGCATTGCCTCCAGGGCCTCTGTTGTGTTCCTTTGGTCTCTGTCTCTGTTTTGGTACCAGTACTATGCTATTTTGATTACTGCTTCCTTGTAGTATAGTTTGAAATCAGGTAGCGTGATGCCTCTGGCTTTGTTCTTTTTGCTTAGATTGTCTTGGCTATGTGGGCTCTTTTTTGATTCCATATGAAGTTTAAGGTGTTTTTCTCTAGTTCTGTGAAGAAGGTCATTGGTAGCTTGATGGGGATAGCGTTGAATCTATAAATTACTTAGGGCAGTATAGCCATTTTCATGATATTGATTCTTCCTAACCATGAGCATGGACTGTTTCTCCATCTGTTTTTGTCCTCTCTTATTTCCTTGAGCAGTAGTTTGTAGTTCTCTTTGAAGAGGTCCTTTGCATCCTTTGTTAGTTGTATTCCTAGGTATTTTATTCTCTTTGTAGCAATTGTGAATGGGAGTCTGCTCATGATTTAGTTCTCTGTTAGTCTGTTATTGGTGTATAGAAATGCTTGTGATTTCTGCAATTGATTTTGTATCCTGAGACTTTGCAGAAGTTGCCTATCAGTTTCAGGAGATTTGGGGCTGAGATGAGAGGGTGTTCTAAATATACAATCATGTCATCTGCAAATAGAGACAATTTGACTACCTCGTTTCTTAATTGAATACCCTTTATTATTTTTTCTTGCCTAGTTGCTCTGGCTAGAACTTCCAATACTATGTTGAATAGGAGTGGTGAGAGAGGACATCCTTGTCTAGTGCCAGATTTCAAAGGAAATGCTTCCAGGTTTTGCCCATTCAGTATAATATTGGCTGTAGGTTTGTTGTAAATAGCATTTATTGTTTTGAGATCTATTCCTTCAATACCTAGTTTATTGAGAGTTTTTAGCATCAAGGGCTGTTGAATTTTGTTGAAGGCCTTCTCTGCATCTATTGAGATAGTCATGTGGTTTTAGTCTTTGGTTCTGTTTATGTGGTGGATTATGTCTACAGACTTGTGTATGTTGAACCAGCCTTGCATCCCCGGGATGAAGCCTATTTGATCGTGATGGATAAGCTTTTTGATGTGCTGTTGCTGTCAATTAGCCAGTATTTTATTAAAGATTTTTGCATCTGTTGTCATCATGGATATTGGCTTGAAGTTTTCTTCTTTTGTTGAATTTCTGCTGGGTTTTGTTATCAGGATGAAGTTGGTCTCATAAAATGATTTGGATTCCCTCTTTTTGGAAAGGATTCCCTCTTTTGGGAAAGGATCCCCTCTTTTTGAAACTATTACAAATAGTTTCAGAAGGAATGGTACCAGTTCCTCTTTGTACATCTGGTAGAATTCAGCTGTGAACCCGTCTGGACCTGGACTTTTTTTGGTTGGTAGGCTATTAATTGCCCCTCAACTTCAGCCCTTGTTATTGGTCTATTCAAGTTTTCAACTTCTTCCTGGTTTGGGCTTGGGAGGGTGCAAGTGTCAAGGAATTTACAATTTCTTCCAGGTTTACTGGTTTATGTACATAGAGTTATTTGCAGTAGTCTCTGATTGTAGTTTGTATTTTTGTGGAATCAGTGGTGATATCCCCTTTATCATTTTTTTATTGCCTCTATTTGATTCTTCTCTCTCTCTCTGTCTTTTTTTTTTTTTTAATTAATCTGGCTAGCAGTCTATCTATTTTGTTGATCTTTTTAAAAAACCAGCTCCTGGATTTATTGATTTTTTTGAAGGGTTTTTTGTGTCTCTATCTCCTTCAGTTCTGCTCTGATCTCAGTTATTCCTTGTCTTCTGCTAGCTTTTGAGTTTTTTTGATCTTGCTCTTTTAGCTCTTTCCATTTTGATGATAGGATGTCAATTTTAGATCTTTCCTTGCTTCTCATGTGGGTATTTACTGCTATAAATTTCCCTCTGGACACTGCTTTAAATGTGTCCCAGAGCTTCTGTCACGTTATATCTTCATTCTTATCGGTTTCAAACAACACCTTTATTTCTTCCTTCATTTCATTGTTTATCCGGTGGACATTTAGGAGCTAGTCATTCAGTTTCCATGAAGCTGTGCAGTTCTGAGTTAGTTTCTTAATACTGAGTTCTAATTATATTGCCCTGTAGTCTGAGAGACTGTTTGTTATGATTTCCATTCTTTTGCATTTGCTGAGGAGTGACTTACTTCCAATTATGTGGTCAATTTTAGAGTAGGTGCAATGTGCTGCTGAGAAGAATGTATATTCTGTGGATTTGGGGTGGAGATTTGTGTAGATGTCTATTAGGTTCGCTTGGTCCAGATCTGAGTTCAAGTCCAGGATATCCTTGCTAATTTTCTGTCTTGATCTGTCTAATATTGACAGTGGAGTGTTAAATTCCACTATTATTGTGTGGGAGTCTAAGTCCCTTTGTAGGTTATTAAGAACTTGCTTTATGTACCTGGGTGCTCCTGTATTGGGTGCGTATATATTTATGATTAGCTCTTCTTGATGCATTGATCCCTTTACCATTATGTAATATCCTTCTTTGTCACTTTTAATCTTTGTTGGTTTAAAATCTATTTTATCAGAGACTAGGATTGCAACTCCAGCTTTTTTTTTGCTCTCCATTTGCTTGGTAAATCTTCCTCCATCTCTTTATTTTGAGCCTATGTGTATCCTTGCACATGAGATGGGTTTCCAGAATACTGTACACCAATGGGTCTTGACTTTTTATCCAATTTGCCAGTCTGTGTTTTTTGATTGGGGCTTTTAGCCCATTGACATGTAAGGTTAATATTGTTATGTGTGAATTTGATCCTGCCATTTTGTTGCTAGCTAGATGGGTAACATTAGTTTTTTTCATTGTGTTGATGGTCTTTACCATTTGGTATGTTTTTGGAATGGCTTGTACTGGTTATTCCTTTCCTTGTTTAGTGCTTCTTTCAGGAGCTCTTGTAAGGCAGGCCTGGTAGTGATGAAATCTCTCAACAGTTGCTTGTCCATAAAGGCTTTTCTTTCTCCTTTGCTTTGAAGCTTGGTTTGGCTGGATATGAAATTCTAGGTTGAAAGTTCTTTTCTTTAAGGATGTTGAATATTGGCCCCCACTCTCTTCTGGCTTGTAGGGTTTCTGCGGAGAGATTGCTGTGAGTCTGATAGGCTTCTCTTTGTGGGTAAACTGACCTTTCTCTCTGGCTGCCCTTAGCATTTTTTTCTTCATTTCAACCCCGGTGAATCTGAGGATTATGTGCCTTGGGGTTGTTCTTCTTGAGAAATATGTTTGTGGTTTTCTCTGTATTTCCTGGACTTGAATGGTGGCCTGGTTTGCTAGGTTGGGGAAGTTCTGGATAATATCCTGAAGAGCATTTTCCAGCTTGGATTCATTGTCTCCATCACATTCAGGCACACCATCAAATGTAGATTAGTTCTTTTCACATAATCCCATATTTCTTGTAGGCTTTGTTTTCACTCTTTTTTCTCTATTGCCTTCTCGTTTTATTTCATTGAATTGATCTTCAATCTCTGATATCTTTTCTTCTTGGTCAATTCAGCTATTGAAACTTGTGTATGCTTCACGAAGTTCTCATGCTGTGTTTTTCAGCTCCTTCAAGTTATTTATATTCTTCTCTAAGCTGTTTATTCTAGTTAGCATCTTATCTAACCTTTTTTCTAGGTTCTTAGTTTCTTTACATTTGGTCAGCACATGTTCTCTTAGCTCTGAAAAGTTTGTTATTATCTACCTTCTGAAGCCTGTTTCTGTCAACTCATCAGATTCAGTCTCTATCCATCTTTGATCCCTAGCTTGTGAGGAGTTATGATCCTTTGCAGGAGGAGAGGCATTCTGGTTTTTGGTGTTTTCATCATTTTTGCGCTGGTTTCTTCCTGTCTTAGTGGCTTTATCTACCTGTGATTTTTGTAGTTGGTGACTTTAAGTCTGCTGCAATGGAACTTGTAATGACCTCTTTTCCCAGGTGCTCTTAAGGATGGGGTCTCTGAGTGGAGATCCTTTTTGTTGATATGAAGTTATTTCTTTCTGTTTCTTAGTTTTCCAATAGTCAGGCCCCTCTACTGCAGGACTGCTGGAGTTCCACTCCAGACCCTACTTGCCTGGGGATCACTCAGGGTGGCTGCAGTACAGTGATGGTTGCTGCCAGTTTCTTCTGTTATCTTCCTCCCAGAAGGGTAAATGCTAGATGTCAGCCTGAGCTCTTCTTTATGAGGTGTCTCTTTGGGTATACAGTGGTTGGGGAGCTGCTTGACGAGACAGTCTATCCCTTATAGGAGTTCAAGTGCTGTGCTGGGAGCTCTGTTGTTCTGTGCAGAGCTGCTGGGCAGGTACTTTTAAGTCTGCTGCAATGGAACTTGTAATGACCTCTTTTCCCAGGTGCTCTGTCCTAGGAATATCAGCTTTATTTATAAGTTCCTGTCATGCTGCTGCCTTTTTTCATAGATGCCCTGTCCTGTATGGAGTAGTCTAATCACAGTCTGCCAGCAGAGGTGTTGCTGAGCTGCAGCAGGTTCTGCCCAGCCACTGTGTGAACTGACTCAGTAGTGGTGGTCGCCCTTCCGCCCACTGAGCTGGACCATCCTGGGTCCAGCTGCACTTGCTGTGAAACTCTCAATCCAGAGCATTTCAGATTACTTGGTTTGTGGGGGTGGTACCCACCAAGCCATATCTCCTGGCTTCCTGTCTCTGCCCCCTGCCTTTCAGTTGAATGGGTGGCTCTGTTTCCTAGGTGTTCCAGGCGCCAGTTGAAATGGCCACACAGATTTGTGTCAGTCTCTGTACGCCAACCTGTCACTGGCTGAAACCACTGTGCTTAAAACTCATGCCGTGGGAATCTCCTGGTCTGTGGGCAGTGAAAATTTGTTTGGAAACACAGTGGGCACTCACCCTCTGCATTTTTCTTGCTGGGAACTGCACTCCAGAGCTGTTCTTATTTGGCCATCTTGGATCCTCCCTAAAATTTAACAATGAATTTGTGTACTTTGTAGGGACATGGATGATCCTGGAGAACATCATTCTCAGCAAACTGACACAAGAACAGAAAATGAAATACCACATGTTCTCACTCATAGGCGGGTGTTGAAGAATGAGAACACATGGACACAGGGAGGGGAGCACTACACACTGGGGTGAATAGGGGAGGGACAGCGGGGGGTGGGGAGTTGGGGAGAGATAGCATAGGGAGAAATGCCAGATATAGGTGAAGGGGAGGAAGGCAGCAAATCACACTGCCACGTGTATACCTATGCAACTATCTTGCATGTTCTTCACATGTACCCCAAAACCTAAAATGCAATAAAAAAGATTATTTTCAATTGAATAAAATGATAAAAGAAGTAAAACTTTTAAGGTTTTTTTTAATGGGACAAACCTGGTTTTTTTATTTTAATGCTTCCACAGTAAACAATGTTAGTAATGCGGTGTCTGTATGTATATCTGACAATCTCTCTTGTTCTGACTACCAGGGACCCTCAGAGAGGGCCAGTAAATAACATCACCTTTTCCCCCACTCAGTTATGAGCATATAAGGACTAAGACAAAAACATGGGTGACAAGGAGAAAATGTGGCCTCTGTTAATGATGGAAGCCAGATGGGAGGCTTTGCTTAGTGGGAGAAGCACAAGGACCTGCAAACTAGGTTCATTATTAGGCAGACTCAGCCTCTCAGTCAGGAGTGATGCTGACCAGGATGGTTCCCTAGTTCCCAATGTCAGGGAGGGTGGTCCTGCCCAGGGGACACTTAGGCTTGGAAGCAGAGGAGAATTCTGCTTCTTTGGCAATTTGCCCCCAGAAGGACAAAAAGGAGAAATTGAGTAAAGCAGGAAAGAAATTGAGCACAGCAGGAAATTTATCCTTACTAAATTTATCCATCAGAAAATCATTCCTCCCCAAGGAGGAAGAAATTGAGTCAAGTGATGCCAGGTGGTTTAGGAAAGATGTGTAGTCATGGAAACTGAAGGGGTGGGAGAAAAGGTGCCTTTGGGCCTTTGGCTATCACTGACCTCTTAATAATCTCCAATAAATAGTGTTCATATTACCAATGAAAGCACATGAGCATTGCTCATTATAAAGTCACTTCTAATCAAAGTACATGCATATATTCACAAGTTGTATGTACAGTGCATTAATATCTCTTTATGTAGACGTGGATATTTTGTCTGTTTCTCTTAATGGCATTCCAGGGACCACTGTTTTCTGTCCAGGGACACCTGAGACCAGAATCCTCAGGGTAATTGATTCACATGTTGATTTTTCTGGTTCTACTTTTACATTCTCATCTTGGAATCACACCAGTACTTTGTAGTTTATACAGGCACCCAATTGATCATGAGGCAATTTAGGTTTATGAAACACTAATGGAAATGGAGTTATCTATATCAATTTCCCTTTCTTTTTTTAACATCTGTGTGTGTTCCAAATGCACATTCTTTTTCATTTCCTGTGGCAGTTTGAATTGTTACCTCTGTTGAGTTTTGGGGCTTTTTCATTCTTCACAAGAGATCAGTGTATTCATTTCTCAAAACCATAAGCTTCTTTTAAACTCTCAGAAATCAGGCCTTTTTGCATAGAGTCATAATTGGTGACAGAACATCAGGATGGAGGTTGGATAAAGTTAGATAGCTTTTTAATTCAGGAGGTTTTCTTTATTTGATCTACCTCCCAGAGATTTTTTATAACATTCCTTTTTTTGTTAAATAATTCAAAAATAAAGAGAATTTGTTCTTACACATTTTGCGATTTGCCTTGCATATTATTTTTGAAAAATATAGAAGGGCCAGACGCGGTGGCTCAAGCCTGTAATCCCAGCACTTTGGGAGGCCGAGGTGGGTGGATCACGAGGTCAAGAGATCTAGACCATGTCGGTCAACATGGTGAAACCCTGTCTCTACTAAAAATACAAAAAATTAGCTGAGCATGGTGGTGCATGCCTGTAATCCCAGCTACTCATGAGGCTGAGGCAGGAGAATTGCCTGAACCCAGGAGGCGGAGGTTGCGGTGAGCCAAGATAGTGCCATTGCACTCTAGCCTGGGTAACAAGGGCGAAACTGCATCTCAAAAAAAAAAAAAAAAAGAAAAGGAAAGAAAAAGAAAAATATAGAAAAAATAAAATTTTTTACTGAACTGTTAAGTTTTATTTTACTTTTCCTTGGGCCTTTTGTTTTCGTCTTAGGAGTTCATATATAATTATAAAGTGGCAAAGCAATAGAAAATATCCTCCATATTCAGAAAGTTAGTAAATAAGCAAACATTTAAGAGCATCCCTCATTCATGAAATAAGTTATACCAAGGTGCCGAATGTAAAATACAAAAACTTTGATATAAGTGCCTCCTACTCGTGATCAGTCTCCAATGTCTTACTGGACACTTCCTTGATCTTTCCATTTAAAACTGCACACCTGTTACCCCTTCTTCCAGGACTCTCTGGCTCCCTTTCTTTTTTCTTCATAGTACCCCATTACCTTCTAATAGACTGATTTTCTTTAACATCCATTTGGTTGTTGTTTACATTTCTGCTTCACGAATGGATTCCTAGCACCTAAAACAACACCAGCACTTTGTAGGTGTTCCATATTCATTGAATGAATGAATATGTTTTCATCAGAGTTTAATGGGTGGTCACCCCTGCTAAATGGGGTCCTTCTTAGGATGAGGGGATTGCCTTGCATAGATTTCCATTCCTTGCAAAGTTCCTTGTGTGAGTTCCCACTCCCTGTGCATGTGGTGAAATCTTTTCTCATGCATTCTCTGCCAGACTGGGCACAGGAGGCAGAGCAGGGACAAGAGCCCAGTGTCCGTGAGCAGAAGGCGAGAAGAGGCAGCTAATGGCATTTTCAGAAAATAAGAAATAGCAGATTTTTTGCTGTTTTCCAGGCTGTGCCTAATTTTGTTGATGTGCTTCTGAAGAAAATCATTTAATACAAACCTGGCTAACCATATCCACCTCTTCTTGCTTGAATTCTTTTTTAAAAACTCTGAGGGCATAAGCATGCCTACAGATACTTTTGACTCCTTTTAAAATACCTTAGGAAAATAAAGGGAGACTTATTGAAGACACTCCAATTTGGGATAGGGGTGCATTCAAACTCAGCCCCTGAATACAAGTGTTTATCATATGTGCTCCTCATTTCATTCTATCTGAAGAACTAAAAAATATGCAAAAAATAAACACTTTAGAAGTATTTATTTGTTATGGAACTTTTCTTATTTTTTATGTACAATTACAGTCTGTCTACTCTATGCCTGATATCAAGCCAGACAATGGTGATATTAAAAAATGAAATAATAGCAAACACTTAACTGAGCCTGGTGCTTGGCGCTTTTCAAAGTACTTTATATCTTATTATCTTTTAATCCTTACAATAAATCAAAGAAGTGGATATTCCCATTTTCCTCATCTTACAAATTATACTAAAGATGGCACCCAAGGTTACACAGCTGTGAAATCAGGGTTTGAGCATAAGTTAATAATAAGCCCCTTGCAGAGCTCATTATTAGCAACCACATCCAATTCCATTAAAGATAAGGTTTCTGTGCTGAAGGGTTCAAGGTGGGAACAGAGATACACAAACAGAAACCTCATAAAATGCGATGATAGTGGTGCGATTGAAACAAAAGATAAAGCAACTAACTCTGTTTACTGGAGCTGGGGAAAGCATCAGTGAGAGTGTGTGTGTCCCGAGATTCTAGGGATGATTAAAGGTGAAAAATACCTGGGAAAGAAGGAGGGAAATGTTAATAATCAGTCTCCTCCGTGAATTAGCATATACGAGCTTCCAACAGTTGTCATCATACCCTTTCTTGCAGATACCATTTCAGTATTTGGAGCCAAGCCTTAAACCTGTGTCACTGTCTGAAACCACAGCAAGTTAAGTGCTAAGTACACATCATTATAGGATAGCAATTGTAATAACAGAAGACAGTAAACACATGCTGCTAAAGGCAATTATTTCAAAGTACAGTCATTTATTTTGACTACCTGTAGTCAGCGGCCAACAGGTGAACCATGTCACCCATTTGGCCTGTGACTATCCTCTGTTATGCTGTTCTTGGATAGTGGCTTTAATGCCCATGAAAAATACCTTAATTTCTAATCTTCCTTCCCTCTTCAGTGTTACCGACTGAACTCCCTCCAGCAGGCGGTAAATGGAACCTTTTCCATCTGGCCAAAGTAATAATTTAGAGATTTATATACACCTACTGATTTCAACATGCTCTGTGATGGTTGGATTTCAATTTTGCTTGACATCCCACAGATGTAAAGGATTAATCCCCAGTGCTGTACTCAGAAACATCAATTTTTTCATAGGCTGTGCATGTTCATCAGTTTACTCTCCTGGTAAGAAGGTGTCTGCCACTGCTGGTATTCATGCTGGCGAAAACCAACACACCTCTTCCAGGCACTGTTTGATGTCAAAGATATAAAGCTTCTTGGCAGCTACAGATATTTTCTAATCTAGCTTATTTTAGAGGCTTGCATTATCTCCCAAATGGTAGAACTCCTTAAGTGTTCTGTAACAAATGCCTAGGAACAATGTTACTACTTACTTCCACAAAATAAGTGATATTTAGGAATATGATTAACCTATGAAAGTCTCTGTTTCTAAGTTTAGTTGAAAGTTCTTCTATGTATAATGCTACTTCCACTGAACTCTGCCTAAAGGGAAACCACACTTCATGTGTTCATCAGTTTTTATTATAAAGAAATAGGAAAAAAAAGCCTGTGTTTTATTTTACCCTCCAGAGGAATCTGTAACTCTCCAAACTTACTCCACAGCGTGAAGTCATTAGAAAGCACATAGAGGGTTTCTATTGCCCTTCGACTTTAGCAGAAGTCTTCCTTTTCCATGTATTTATCCATTAAGCACCCCAATTTCTAGGTGAAGGAATAAGTACAGTGGTAGATTTTGCAGAATTAGCTTCGGATTTGTGTTCTCCCAAAGAGGAACTTCACTAGCCGTTAGAAACTTTACCTACCACATCCTCTGAGCCATAAAGGTGAATCTCCTCAGTCTGGTGAATTTCCCAGGAGGCCTTTCTATCACACTTCTGATAAACTTTCCCATGAAAACTTACTGAGGAAGGTTACTAAGGAAACAAGAGACCCAGGTAGTAGCAATTCGTACCAAGGTTAACAAAATGTACAAATGTAATTTTGGCCAGACTCAATGATTTGAATGATTTTTTCAGAAGATGGAGTTAAGACTCATTTCACAAGTATCTCATAGGAGCACTCCTGGTCAAACACCTGCCTTCTGTCTTTTGCGCTATCAAGGCTGTACTTCTGAAGGGATGTGAGGCTGGAAAGCAGAGAATACCATGAGAAGAGCCAAAGCTATCTCCTATCACATGTGCAAATTAAACCATTATTTTTAGATAATTCTATATTTTGTCAGTTTGGTGATTAAATTACAATGATTAATGTTCTTAATATACAGTGTGATTAGCGTACTTAAAATAACTATAATAGTATCCAAAGTGGCTTCCACATGCATCTCCTTATTTGACCGCATTCGCGGCAGACAAGGCACAGCTCTTTATGGATATCTGAAGGTCATGGACACTTAAATGAATGAGTGTAAACAGCTTGTTTCAGGTCATATGGCTGCTTTGTGAGGAGGCTACAGACCAACAGTAGGACGTAGGCTTTGAAGACAAGCAGACCTGGAAGGAAGTAATATCTCTCTGCCATATACTAGACGTAAGATCTTAGAGTTAAATTCCTGATCAACTGTTTACAAGCTGTGTATCTTGGACCTTTGACCTAACCTCTCTGAACCTTAGTTTCCAGAATTATTAAGTGGAATAATACATTATGCAGTCATTGTTAAGATCAGAGATAATGAGTGCAGTGTGTCTGATTCGAGCATAGATTGCTAATTGTAACATTCAATAAGCTATATTAACAAGATTATAAATCAACCGTGGTGTCAGTGACAAGAACTAGATAGAACACCCACTTTTGGGACGGTCACTGTGGTGTAGGAGGAAGAGTGTGGAATCCGGAGAAAGAAAAGCAATGTAAGGCTGAGCGTCGTGGCTCATGCCTTTAATCCCAGCACTTTGGGAGGCCGAGGTGGGTGGATCACGAGGTCAAGAGATCGAGACCATCCTGGTCAACATGGTGAAACCTCATCTCTACTAAAAATACAAAAAATTAGCTGCACATGGTGGTGCATGCCTGTAGTCCCAGCTACTCGGGAGACTGAGTCAGGAGAATTGCTTGAACCCAGGAGGCGGAGGTTGCGGTGAGCCAGGATTGCACCATTGCACTCCAGCCTGGGTAACAAGAGCGAAACTCCATCTCAAAAAAAAAAAAGAAAGAAATGCAAGGTACCAGTTCTTAGTCTTTTACTTCACGCATGTGTTATGCTGGGTGAGTTTTCTAGCCCCAAGAAGGATTTTTTTCTCTCCCTTCCTTATTTTCTTTTTCCTTTCTTTTCTTCCACTTTTTCTCTGTTTTTCCATTCTTTCATCTTTCTTTTCTTTAATGTTCTTTCTTTAAAAAAAAGTGTAACACTACTAATCAAACTCTATACAGCAGAATTTTGAGGCAAAGTGAATTTTAATGTATATAAAATTGTTTTGATATAATAGATGTTATGCAAATCAGCAGTTATTTGTGTTATTGTAACTTCTGATACATGTTCTTTTCACCATATCATTCTATCCAGTTCTGTTAAAAGCTATACTGTCTAGCAGCTTATAAATTTGTATATAGCAGCCTTTTTTTTTTTTTTTTTTTTTTTTTTGTAAGAGGTTTTTCTACTTCTTGCCTTGGCTGTTAGGAAGTGAAAAGTCAAATTTTAAAACCCACATTTATTAATCATAAAAAAGGTTTCGAATACGTTTCTTTAATCTGCTTTTATTTTCTTACTTAGATTCCCCTCTCATTTTTAATCTATTTATTCTGCAATAAATACAGTTTTCAACATCACCTTAAATAAAGTTGCAAGAAATGAATAAAACCATAACTATGTAATAATAATAATGAAGTCAGAGAACATTTGTAAAAAACATTACGGATTTTTATACATAAGATTTTTTACAGAGGTGAAAGTTTATTTTCTCCTAAGAGTAATTCAATTGAATACTAGTAAACATTTATTGAATCCCCTTATCCTGCAAAGCACATAAAAGATTCCTAAGAGTGAAAGACAGATCTCTGTCAAAAAAGGTCTAATCAAATTTAGAAAATCACACATAGGCGTGAAGTGTTAGGTATCAGAAGGTCTATAAGTGTCAAGAATACACAAGATGGCTTGGCACGAGGGCTCGTCGTATAACAAGTGAGCATTGCTGAGAAATCGTCAACTGTAGTTTATCTTCTTCATTCCATTCCAGTAATAAGCACCTAACCTTCCCTTTTGCTCTGTAATAAAATTTAAATAATGAAAAGAGGATATTACTTAATATGTAACTAAAAAAGCTGAATGCCACCCCATAGATGTGTGAATTTAGGGAAATAACAATTTCCGCATCTGTGAAATGAAATCAGAATACCTAAACTTCTTTTAAGCTGTCAGGTTTCTGTCTCAGAGATAGCTTCAACTTACCTCTCTCAAGTAATCAATTATGTCTACTCCAAAAAATTTTTTCACTCTATTCAAGGAGGTTTCTCAGTAGATGATAAGTAGATTTTTAAAATGTCTTGGATAACTAGCTGTTGAGTGGGACATGTTGGAAAATCATTTTGTCAAATTTCAAGAGTGCTCAAGATAGAAGTGACTCCATCATTAATCAAAACTGAACCCCTCATTTGGCAGATGAGGAACCTGAGATTCAGAGGGCATGAGAGAACCACACAAGAGGAGACTGTCCATTGCAGAACTGATGACTGGAGGCTTCTAGTACTGAACAGGGTGTCAGTGTTTGTTCACGGATACCCAGTTTCTAGATAAGAGGGAAGTAGAGACCCAGTGTACTCTGTTCTGGGAAGACTTCATATTAATAGCTGTTTGAGGGACAAAGGCTTATTTATTAGGACTTAGTTACAGACGATAGACACATTTGCCATGTTTAAGAAAGAGATGTATTGCCAGAGTTTAAGTGGCATAGAAGCTAGTTGGAAGGGCTGGATGAACAGGCTATAGGTGAGGTTTCTAGTAACTACCCCCACCCACCAGCCATCCTTCATGCTCAAGGAACCTGTCACTGCAATAGCAGAACCCTCCATACCCAGGAGTAACAATCACAGAACCATGCTGCCGCTACCCTGGCCCTGCCTGTCTCCCCTCCACACCAAATTCAAGTGGGGCTGAAATCCAGAATACTACCTGCAAAGGGATTGAAAGTCGTGTTTAACTTTCCGTTCTCTGGAATAAAGGATGACCCTGAAGATGGAAGTTGAAAAAGATGAGTCAATCCAGATCATTTGCCAGAAATCAAAAAGGGTTTCATAATAGGTACATAATAGGATTACACGACCCAAACCTTGGCATGTGAGGAATAGCTTAAGACAGGGATGACAAATAGACTTTATCTTGCCAGCCAGCTGTAGCTAATTGGCTGCCAAAAAACACCAAATTGAGAAAGATGTTGGGAATGTACCTGGGCCCAGAAGGATAACGCCCTGACACTAGTGATATGTGCCAGAAGTATGCACATGAAGCTATCGGAGTGGCATGAAAGCCCCACGTATCCTATACTCAGTTGCTGCCTGATCGCTTGGCAGATTATTTTGTAATGTCTTGTGGCACTCTTTTTATTGTTTCATTATATCTTGATCGATTTATTTGTATTTTCATGATGATTATACCTTCTTGACTATGGTAAACTATAAAATATTTGTGATTTTAATCATCTCTACACCCTGCAGAATACTTGATATACCTTGAATGAGTGTCTGTTGATTTGACTTTAAAATTTCGATTATTCCATCAACAAACACTAATGTAATGTACTTGGCACAAAACCACATTGATTTCATGGTCTCAGACTGAGTGAGACCCAAGATTTTAAGAAATTGTTCCAACTCTCCTCTATGAAAATCATGTTTCTTTCTTACAGAATCCTAAGCAGTTGATTTTGAATACCTTAGAAGATGTGCTTGTTTTTAGATTGTGAACTCTGTTTATTACTTGGAGCTCCTCCAGGTTTCCTGCCATCACTTTTGATCTTGAGCTCTTGGGTTCACTTGGGCTAATACTTGTTCTTAAAGATAACTTTGCTCTGAGAGTTGCAGACGTACATGACATGGAATGGATATGCCCATAGCTTAGCTTCAAAATGGGGATGTTAATTTATGATTCCTGTACAATGCCTTTTTAAAAAAGCCTGCACAGAAAGGAGACCTGTTTCTTGAGAACAACACATGGAAGTGTTCCCTGTGACTCTACTTGCTAACCTGCATGGCCCACTCTCAGTAGGGCAAAGGCTAAATTATGTTTCTAGGAAAAGAAGAAGAATTAGGGCTGGTCCATTTTTGATGACTCTCCTTTATAGCTCTTCATGGAGAACAGTTCTTGAGTTTGGGGGAATATTGATAAGGTGAGGATGAGCCTGTGTGTCTGTAAAATGCAGAAATGACTCTAACAGCATTTATTCATTCAGTAAATTACAGTGTATTTATTGAATATTTATTTATTTTTGAGACAGAGTCTCACTCTATCACCCAGGCTAGAGTGTGGTGGTGCAATCTCAGCTCACTGCAACCTCCGCCTCCCAGGCTCAAGCAGTCCTCCTGCCTCAGCCTCCCAAGTAGCTGGGACCACAGATGTGCACCACCATACCAGGCTAATTTTTGTATATATGATAGAGACAGGGTTTCACCATGTTGCCCAGGCTAGTCTTAAACTCCAGAACTAAGCTCTCTGTTCACCTCAGACTCCCAAAGTGCTGGGATTACAGGTATGAGCCATGACACGTGGTCCATTTATTGAATATTTATTATGCACTGTGCTAGATTCTAACTGTAGAGAAGTCTCAAAAAGGTAAATGTGCAAGCAGTGACTAAGTAACCATGAGGTTTCCTGAAGAGAGACACAGAAACCCTTAGAGTGGATAATATAAAAGGAAGAGATAACTTATACTTGGCTGCATAGGAAAGACAGTTAAGTCAAACAGATAAAGATTCAAATCCACATTTATCATGGAACCTTGGCAAGTGCTATGGTCTGGATGTTTGTATTCCTCCAAAATGCATATTTTCAAACTTTAATTCCCAAGATAATGGTATTAAGAGTGAGGGCTTTGGGAAGTGACTACGTCATGAGGGCTCCATTCTCATAAATGGGAGGAGTGCCTTTATCAAAAGAGGGCTGGGGAAGCTTATTCACCTGCTCCACCATGGGAAGACACAGCAAGAATGTGTCTTCTATGAGCAACAGGTCCTTACCAGACACAGAATCTGCCAGCACTTAATCTTATAGTTCCCAGCCTCCAGAACTGTGACCAATAAATTCTGTCGTTCACACATTACTTATTCAGAGGAATTTTATTGTAGCAGCCTAAAAAAACCAAGACAGCAAATTGACAATATCAGAGTCCTCATCTGCTAATAATGCTGTCATATAAAATTAATAATTAATTTTTTAGATCTGGTATGAAATTATTATGACAGACCAGTTATTCAAAAGTGGCATAAAGTCAGATAATGGGAAAAGTTGTGCTCTTTATTAA